GTCGAATATTTCGAACAAATTATTCGAACACGAATATTCGCTTCCAGCTATATCACAAACCGCAAGAATTTGGAATAAAAGTCATAATCCGCTTGACTACAGCAAAAATCACAGGCAACCCACTTGTTTGACTCCTACGGATACAGCCTTCATTCCACGGTAATAACCAGCTGGATCAACTTTAAACACAACTGCTCCAGTCTCATCATCGTATGAAATCATGATCATGGCTATAATTGTGAAAATTTTGTTTAGAAAAGGAGAGAAATCCATCCAAAATGCACAACCGACTTACCGCATCCCAAGCTCCTCATCTCAGCGTTCTGCGTGTAAAACTGATTCTTGTCAGCGATCCTTTTCGCCAGTAGCTCACAAGGCATGTCGTATCCATTCTCATACTTCCAACGAGACGCCTCCATTTGCGCTACACGTACCTGAACTTGCAGAATTTGGACGAAAACTCCAACTGAGCTGATAAATTCGACATACTTGATATTTGCAATCCGGAATCATTCCTATAGCACAGCATCCAACTGTTGGAGAAAGATTATAAATGGAGGTGACTGAGTCAGCTACAATCAGACTGTCCGGTACACGCTTTTGTACAGCAATTACTGCTGTATCAATCCCCTGAACCAATTTTGATTTTGGCATTCTCCAAACATTAGCTCTAGATTGATAAGAACGATATTTAGAATCAAGAATATCAAAAAGCTAAAAAGCCAAAGCTAGAACCTCCAATGACATGTCATACCTTAACTGCAACTGCGGTCAAGTTTGTAGAGTTGATCGCTTTGAATGCATATTCGACCTAGGAAAGGTTAGCAGTGAGAATAAAAGCTTCAAACCAAGTAAGAAAGAACCTACTTGGTAGACACGACCTTCAGGAGAAAAGATAGTGATGTGACGATCAAATCCAGCACTGCTTCCACGAGACATGATTTCTGTATAGAAGCTACAAATTATGGCTAGATAAAGCTCAAGTTTGACAAAGTATGGGAATAATGGACCAAATTACGCAACCATAAGACATGTAGCAATTCTTCATTCATGCATTGTCTCTCAAAATTCCAACAAATAATAGTGACCATATTGGCAATAACAAATAACAGTTTTCTGTACATAGTAACCTATAAAAATCGCGTTCATCAAGAGTATTCGATATCTTTCCTCTTGCATTTGAGACACGTATAAAACACCGTTTGGCCTTCATCTGCTGATCTTGTTTGCATAGTCGAATAAGACGCTTTGTTATGACCGCATCTAAAATATCATAAATTTTCAGTTACTCAAAAAGTTTTTTT